ATATGTTTAAGATCCAGAAACAAATAAACCAAAACCTCTTAGAAAACAACGCAAAGATAGAGAAATTAAGAAGTAGGTATTATAGTAAAGGAAACGAGCAGACAAGTTATTGACGAAGAAACTAAGAGAAAAGGTTGCCTCAGGTAAAATCACATGAATGGCGGATGATATAGGGAAATACCTTAACAATAAGACGATTCGAGAATGTTTTAATGCATATTACAATAAATTGTATAATCTTTGTACAATCAATAAGGATATGAATGGCTACTGAGAAATACTAACATTTTAATGATTTCGTATATTCAAAAATCTAGATTAAACTGCCCAACAACTTCCTATGAGGTAAAGAAGATAATTTTTCATGTTAAGCCTAAGAAAACTCCAGGTCCAGATAGCTTTTCAAATTTGTTTTATAAAACTTTTGCAGACTTGATTAGTATTCATTTAGCAAATACTTTCAACCACACTGTCAAAATGGGGGGCTTTCCCAGGGAAATGCTTAGAGACAATATTCTTCCAATATTAAAGCAGGACAAAGATCCATCAAAAGTTGAAAGTTACAGACCAATATCATTGCTAAACACTGACGTAAAGATTTTTTCAGCAATATTGGCGAACAGACTTAAAGATACTCTGAATTACATCATTGATAAAGACCAAATAGGATTCGTCCCTGGACGTATCGCTGGGGATAATACTAGGTGTATAATTGATAGAATAGACACCGCTAATAAGAAAAAAGTGCCTTTGCTGTTATTGGCCGAGAAGGCATTCGACAGGTTCGGTTGGGAGTTCTTGAGTAAGACACTGGAGAAATTCGATATTCAGGGTTGGATGCACTGGGTAATCCTGTCTTTATATGACAGTTCCACAGCAAGAACGGTGGGACCTAATATTTGCGCTGATTGGTTTACACTGCATAATGGGACTAGACAGGGTTGCCCGCTATCTCCGATCCTGTATATTTTGACAATGGAGATATAAGCAAACAACATTAGAAAAAACTAATTATTAAAAGGTTTCTCCACTAAACAGAGAGACCTCAAACTGAAGTTTTACGCAGATGATTTGATCTTGACCCTAACCGATCCTGTTGTATCCTTAGAAGCTTTAATGATGGAGGTGGAAGCATATAGCTCAATATCCAACTATAAAATCAATGTGCACAAATCAATAGCGATTACTATTTATATTGATAGGAGTAGCAGGGCCCATTTGGAAGACTGCTATCAATTCAGTTGGACTAAAAGTACCTTGCCATATTTGGGTATAATAATAACTAAAGACACAGCTGACCTAATGCAGACACATTTTTTAAGCAGTTCTAGAAACAACCACAGTTCCTTGAAAAAATTGAGACATATCGAGTTATCATGGTGGGGGAGAATCAATCTAATCATTGCATATTTGATACCTAAAATGGTCCTATCTTTTTCAAATGCTCCCTTTAAGAATGACTCAACCTTGGCTCACTATGGTTCAGCGGGAATTTGTAAAAAAAAATGTTATTCTTTATTTTTGCCATGAACGGAAAATCCATCTGCATTGCAACAGCATATGCGAAAGTCAAACATATTTCATATAATAGCAATTCACTGATACAGAGAAAGAGTAAGATTTGCAGAAACAACGGTAAGTAACTTGGTTGTAATGTGTCATGGTTTTTTGGGGGTTTTTTTTGTGGTACATTATTTTATGTATGTTGTTGGTAGCGAGGGTTGTAACATAAGAGGGTGTCAATCCTATTAGGTAGTGTAGCTATACGCGTGAATTAGGCTGTGCTCTGCTAAAGGAGCTCAGTGGTTGGATAACCTTGTGTTGGTGTAATATTCGCGTATAAGATATTGGGAGACCTAGTATTGGCGGTTATGGACACGTTGGTTTCATCTATAGGTGTGCTACAATCGTATATGTGTAAGGGTTCGATTTTGGTTCTCGCTGTAGAAAGGTTGATCTTTTGTTATTTCTGGGATGTATGTTTCGTTACGAATTAGTAGTAGTATTCGGTAAGTGGTTTCCTCCCATTGAGAGTGGGAGGGAGGTGATTAGAGGTGACAGGAAGGTAGAGGGAGTGTGAAGCAGGGGAGGTAAAGGAATAGTTATCAGGTAAGAAAGAGGTTTCGGGTTACGAGCCGCGCCGGCAGCGAGCAAGGCAATGGAGCGGAGGGGTAGGGGCCGGGGCCGCACCGCCCCTTGGGCACCTAGGTAGTGTCTGAGCTATGCCACCGGGTCTAGATCGCTCCCCCCGTCTCTCAAAATGCCTCCCATAGCTCCCAGACTCGGGGGAATTTGTTAATTTTATCTGGGAAGGGAAAAGGTCCAGAATCAATAAAAAACAATTGATGCAGAAAACCTGAGATGGGGAGTTAGGTTTCCCTAATATGACACACACATATCTCTCAAAACATTTTTCATTTAGATAGGACACAACTTTATAGAGCTAAGGAAGAGGGCTGGCATGTTTTAAAAAAAACTGCAATGAGTGGAATAGAGGATCTGAGCTGCCTGCTGTGGATGGGAAAAAAGGATGCTAGGATTAAAACTGCCAGAACTCTAATGCCTGTTTGGCAATATATATGGGAAAAGGTAAAAAGAAGGAGTGGTTTAGAAAATTAAATGCCTAGAAGCCTCAAATTAACAGACATTCCATTATATGTTAAGGATTTGTCTGTTGAGGAGTGGACTCAAAAAGGCATATTGCAGATAATCAAATAATGATAAATGAAAATATTAAACCATTTGCATTAATAAACCAAGAGTTTTAACTATCAACCAAAGAGTGGTATAACTACTTTAGGCTCAAAACCTTTATAAAACAAAACACTCTTCATAACCTCTCAGAGGGTACTAATATTCTAAGTTTGTTATTTAATAATGAGGTGAAGAGGAGGAGAAGAGGGAGGAGGAGAGGGGGACCCTGAGGGTGGGGGCACCCTCAGGGCACTATAGTGCCAGGAAAACGAGCATGTTTTCCTGGCACTATAGTGGTCCTTTAATTTATGATGGGCTTTTGCCCTAGATATATGTATTTTGTATTGGAAAATGAATAAAGAAGTTTAAAAAATATATATTAATAGTCTCATGTAAGTGCGCCTGTAGGGGACATGATGTGGATACTCTGAAGTATCTTACCTGTTCCTCAAAATCCCCCAGCCTTTTGGGGAGTTTTCCTGTGCTATCCTCAGCCAGTTCCTTCGCTTTATATGCCTCCCTTGAAAGTTGAAATATTTTCATATATCATAGCAAAACACTGACGTGGTTGTGGTCCTTGAAGTCTTTAAATGTTATTGTTCCGGTTATTCAGAACATGATGCACATATAAGTATAAATAGACCATGATACATAAATAAAACAGAAAGGACTTGCAAAAAATAGTACAATAAAACAGAGTAGGTTATAAAAAATGGTGAAGAACAAAAATATTATCTGTGTACTTGAGCCCAATAAACTGAGCTCACAAAATCCCAGCCTTATCTTAAAATGTGTATAAAAATGTGCAGATTTTTTCGCATTGTGTTGATATATAATGCAAATTGGTTGATATGCCTTGGATGGTTCATATGGCAAAAAGAGCAGAAATACTATATTACAGTATCTTCTAGTTCTGGTTCTAAAACAGATATAACTGCAGGTACATGAGTTTGAGCTTGTAGCGGAGCACTAGTTCTACATAGACGTTCTCTGCAGGTAATCCCAGAATAACTCAGGAACAAATAGCCCCAGGAACACAGCATAAGTAGCAAGTAAAACAATCCAAGAATATCACATCACTTTTCCCAATAACTGGACAACACACAGTATCAGGAGCAGAACTGATGTTTAATCCCACATACCCTGCTTTTATGCATCTCTCCCATGCAAGGGAGACACCCACAGACAAATGTACATCAACCAATCACACATAGGTTACAACCCACACATCTCCTCCCCTCAGCCTACAAGATAATATAATTAACAGACCAGTTTTTACACACAGTTTCCCCCGATTTCTGGATGTACCCCAAATACCTGAAAATAACCCCTAAATTATACATCCCCTGATCTGGGTGAGCAACATACTCAAAAATCACCCAGATCGGATCAGGGGTTCGGAAATTTCATGGAGGTGTTCGTTTGACCGACCGCACACGAGGCAATAGCCGAAATCAGTTCCATGTATTCTGGCCTTGAGGTCAGTCTCTGTTCGCGGGGTAAAAAGCATGAAAATACTGGGCAGAATAGTCTTTGCCTGGATTCGTATGAATCCCCTTGTTCGTGAGTACCTTCCTATCGACCGCCGGGCCGTTCGTGTGTTTCCTCACGAACGGGTGGAAGTCTGGAGGCCTTTGCGGTGTTTGCGTAGTCGCGTGTCTGATTTGGGTTCCAGACACTCGAAGACAAAACACCGCTGAGTGTTCATATGGCAAAATGGCCGCTGCCACGTATTCGCATGTCGAACGGCGCCCACCCAGGGAATACACAGTACATTCGTATAATTGGCAATTAGGCTGGTGTTAATACCGATGAGGGAGGTAAATTAGAGCCACACTTCTCTCCGGGGTGGTCTGGTTGTTCGGTAGTTTGTTCGTATGTTGAACGGAGATATTCAACTGGGTATCGATTGCGTTACTACCGAACAACCAGACGAATGCTTCATACATTACATTGTATACAAGTGACAAAATGATAGGGAAATAACATTGCAATAAGAATAGTTATGGACAGCCAAACGTAATCCACTACAAAGCTCTTCTGAAATTAGAAAGTTTCTGAAACATTTAAGCCAAACCTGTTTCTTCCATTATTTTCACTTGGAGATTTGTGCATAACAGGCCTTAACCTCTACCTGATGTTAGGACACTCCATCCCATTGTTTTACAGAGTGAGCTTGCCAGTAGGACATCATGGAACACCCTGCATATTTGGTGTGCATGTTAAATCCTTGCTTACACCTAGGAGCCCCAGATATCAATGTAAACCTGGGGCTTCTCTTAGTCAGCTTGGACCATTTCTAGCGTCCCCAGACTAACTGATGAGCTCTAAGTAGCACTAGAAGTCATCACTACCTAAAACACCCTTAACCCAATCATAAACCATAAACTCCGACCGAGTACCTCCACCCAATCTGCTTCCTAGCACGCTTCAGTCCCAGTCACCGAAGCTTGACTGGGGTCTCTCCAGAACTCTTCCACCTGACCAGACTCTTCTTTCAGGCACGTATTGTCCCCTCTGCCTATTCCTCTGCAGCTCTTTTTCCAGGCAGGTATCGTTCCCCTCTGCCTGTTGTGCTGAACAATATAATACAAATGACATTTTCAAACACAATAAAAGCAGTAATATATACATTTAACTACTTATTTTGTTGCCCTCATTTGCAAATGAACACACTTCTAGACAGTCAGCAGAGGGCTCAGCAGAGTTATCCAGTAACAATGAATAGTTTGTACATTGATTGCTGCTGTCACACACCTCTTTCAGGGATTCTTGAGATCAGGTCCATAGTCTGTCGGTAGGAGGCTGGCCTTCAAGCTTCTCCAAAAGGCCAAGGCATGGGAACTTTTGTCACAGCCTGCTGCCCAGCTAATCAGCTGGAAAACAAGCTCCATTCATAACTACATTGAGTGTAATTATGACAACAACCAGTAGGATGGTGGTCACAGACCACTGTGTTAAATAGGAAGCCCATTTTATACTATCAGAATTGATAATAGCAGAGTATTTTCTTGTGGTTAATGTTGGGGTTATGGTATGGTTGGGGTTATGGTATGGTTGGGGTAGAAACAGAATGTGACGGAAAATAAGACCCATTCGGCCCATCTAGTTTGCCCAATTTTCGAAATACTTTCATTAGTGGAATATGCATAAGGCTATCTTATATCTAGGATAGAATTATGCATATTCCACGTATGCTTAAACTCCCTCACTGTGTTAACCTCTACCACTTCAACTGAAATGCTATTCCATGCATCCACAACCCTCTTATTAGTCATATTTTGTGATATTATTTTTAAACCTTTGTCTCTCTAATTTAAGATTATGTCCTTTTGCTGTTGTATTTTCCTTCTAATATACTCTTCTCCTTTACTGTGTTTATTCCCTTTATGTATTTAAATGTTTCTATCATATCAACCCTGCCTTGTCTTTCTTCCAAGCTATACATGTTAAGATCCTTTAACCTTTCCTGGTAACTGTTACCTTGCAATCCATGAACCAGTTTAGCAGGATTTCTCTGAACTCTTTCCAAAGTATTAATATCCTTCTGGAGATAGTCTCCAGTACTGTGCACAATACTCCAAGTGAGGTCTCACCAGTGTTCTGTACAATGGCATGAGCACATCCCTCTTTCAACTGCTAATACTGCTATAATTTCCTGCTGCTCTAATACATTGTCTACCTATCTTTAAGGCATCTAAAATAATTACCCCTAAATCCCTGTTGAGGTTAGGACTGTATCAAATATTCTATACTCTGCCCTTGGGTGTTTACGCCCAAGATGCATTATCTTGTATTAAATGTCAGTTGCCACAGCTCTGACCATTTTTCTAATTTACCTAAATCATTTGCCATTTGGTTTATCCCTCCTGGAACATCAACCCTGTTGCAAACCTTTGTATCATCAGCAAAGTCATACCTTACCAACAAGACCTTCTGCAATATCACTAATAAAAATATTGAAGAGAATGTACAGTACAGATGCCTGAGGTACCCCACTGGTAACAAGACCTCCATAAAATATACTTCATCGACAACAACCCTCTGTTGCCTGTCACTCAGCCACTGCCTAAACTATTTAACAATATTGGAAACCAAACTCAAAGACTGCAGTTTATTGATGAGCGTTCTATGTGCAACAGTGTCAAAAGCCTTACTGAAATCTGTGTAAGCAATGTCTTGATCTTTTTTTTTTTTTGTTACCCTGTCAAAAAAAATCTATAAGATTAGTTTGGCATGATCCCTTTGAAATGAACCCATGCTGTCTCTGATCTTAAAATTTATGTGACTTTAGATGTTCAACAATCCTATCCTTTAACATGGATTACATTGCTTTGCCCACTACTAAAGTAAGGCTTACTGGCGTATAGTTGCATGACTCCTCCCTATTACCTTACTTGTGAACTGGCACAACATTCGCAAATTTCCAATCTTTTGAGACAACTCCCGTTAACAATGATTTGTTAATGAAATCACTTAACGGTTTTGTCAGTACACGACTAAGTTCTTTTATTAACTTTGGGTGTATCCCATCAGGTCGCATCGACTTATTTGTCTTTACTTTAGACAGCTGAAATAGAACATCCAACTCTGTAAACTCACATGTAACAAATGACTCAGTCTCCCTCCCTCCCCAACTTATGTCCTTTTCCATTATTTTCATCTGTTTTACTTTCCTTTTATCATATATGTATCTACAAAATGTTTTATCTCCTTTTTTAACTGACTACGCTATTTTCTCTTCTGTGTGTGCTTTTGAAGCTCTTATAACTTGCTTTGTCTCTTTTTTGCCTAATCTTATAGATCTGTCTTTTTCCCCCTTTTTTTTGGTATAATTACTAAATGCTAACTTTTAGGTTTTTTTTACTACCTGCCGCCATTTTGTGCGGCCTCAGCCTGCACAGCAAATCCCCGGGGCCGCCGTCCAAGGAGTCCATCGGGTGGCCCATGCTGTTAGGGCCACCCAATGGAGATGGATTGTCAGGGTGCCCGGTCAGCGCTGGGCACTTTAACAGCGCGACCGGTCCCCCTGTGATGACATCACACGCTGGGAGGAAGTGACTGCCCCGGTCACTCCTCCCAGCAATTACACAGAGCCTGCGTGGGTGGAAGCAGAGGGAACTCTGACTCCCATCAACCTGAGCCACCACTGGACCCCAGGGAAAGTCACCTTCCTGCACATAAAAGGTAGGAAACAGGAGAGTGACAAACATTTTGTCTGTGTGTCTCTGTCTGTATGTATGTGTGTCTTGTGTGTGTGTGTGCCTGTCTGTTTGTATGTGTGCCTTGTGTGTGTGTCTGTATGTATCTGTCTGTATGTATGCATGTGTGTGTCTGTTAGAGGGGAGGGGTGTGGGGGGGCACACGGATCACTTTTGCACCGGGGTCCCATTGATTGTGTGTACGCCACTGACTGTGTGCTTACCAAATTCTTGTTCATATACACAGCCATCCCTCCCCCTTTCTTGCCTACTCTGTCTTTTCTATAAAAAAAAAAGTTACCAGGTACTGCAATGTCCCAGTCACTTTTCTCATTATTCCATGTCTCAGTAACATCCACTAAATCTACATTCTCAGTTGTCATTATTGCCACAAATTCATGGATCTTATTTCGTAAACTGCAAGCATTTGTAGAAGTACCTCTAAGCTTATCAGCACACTTGCTACAGGCACTTTCTGTCCTTGCGTTGAGGGGCACATGGATTGATGTTTTATCAACCTTTTGCACCCCACCCACCAGCTTAAAAACTTCCTAGCAAAACCTCTGAACTGCTCACTGAGAACATGCATTCCATCTTTTTTGTACAGTTCATTTCTATTCCAAATAAAACTACCACGAGAAACAAGGTGAGATGACGAGACCAAATACTGATAATTCTTTATGAGTAGCATCAGATCAGCATAGTTCCATGTTTGCCACATATGTGCTCTAGATCCCAAATGCTTCTTATTGGAAATGTGGTGGATTAAGGGTTTGTTTTCTACATTAATTATATTTCCACAAGAGGGCCCTGAATTTAAATGTTAAAAAGAACACACTAAATGTTAATATATTACATGAGATTGTTCCCTTATTTACAAAAGCATGAATAACGTTATATGTGCAACAGTTACATAGGTCACTTTTTAATGAAGCTAACCAATGCCTCATATACATAATTATACATATACATAACTCATTCTTATAAATAAAATAAATGTAATGAAAATAAAGGACACACAGGATAACCATCTATCACAACCTACATCAGGGGAAACAATCCTTTTAGTTGTAAAATCTTGAAATCCATTGGTGTGCTGGTCCTAATTTTTTTGAATTGAGGTGTGCATGTTGCCCTACTGTGCTTGTATTATATATGGGTGCTTTGAAGCGTTGTGTATGTGTGCTATTAATATTATTATTGACAATTATATAGCGCCAACACATTCCGTAGTGCTTTACAATATTATAAGGGGGGGGGAGGGGGGTAAGGACAATTACACACAAAAAACAAAAACTTACAGAAATGATAGGTTCAAACGAGCTTACAGTCTATGGGACGTGGGGTATAAAACACAATAGGACAGGAAATAGCAATCAAATAAGGTGGGAGTGAAGCAGAGCTAGAGGAGAGAGTAGAGTGCTGCCCTTTAGGAGAGAGCAAGGGACAGGTATGCAAGACAGAAGTTACTCTGGGAGGCCATAAGATTTCCTAAAGAGGTTGATTTTAAGGCACTTCTTAAATTGAAGACTTGGGGAGAGTTTGATGGGAGTAGGCAGGCTATTCCATAGCAAGGGTGCCACCCGCGAGAAGTCCTGCAAGCAGCAGTTGGCCGTATGTGTGTGAGCAACAGACAGGGGAAGGTTATGGGCAGAGTGGAAAGACCAAGAAGGGGCATACCTACGGCTCTGAAGAGATATAAGAGGGGCTAAAATTGTTCAATGCTTTATAGGTATGGATTAGCACCAGGGCCGGACTGGGAGAAAAATTCGTCCCACTATTTTTTTAACACAGCGGCCCACTAAAAAGGGGGCGGGGCAGAGGAGGTGTGTTTTGTCATCACCAATGACAAACACGCCTCCTCTCAAAGTGAGCATGTTAATTCAATGCTCTTCCAGGGCAGACCATGCGCAGAGCTCTGCTAAAGAGCTCTAGCATGAGAAAAAAGTCCTGTATTTGTTCTGCATTGTGCAAGCAAATCTAATAACATGCTTGCGCTGTGTTTCCTTGCAACTTGTCTCTGGTGTCTCTATAAACCAGGAGACAAAAGGGCCAGGAAAGAGTATTGTGCATGTGTTTGGAGCCTGCTTGTGGTATTGCGTGTGTGTAGAATGAGCTGGTTGTGGTGTGGTATTGTGTAATAAGGTTGGTTTTAATCGTGTTGTGTCTGTGGTGTAATGTGATGCACATGTGGCTATGGGCTGTAGAGAATGTGTGTATTGGGGATATTGCAAGTGTGTGCATACAGGCTATAGTGTGTGTGTGTGTGTATATGTGATGTAGTGTGTGTTTAGAGGTGTAGTATGTGTTTGCTTACAAGGAATCTAGTGTGTGTATAGGGGATCCAGAGTGTGTGTGTGTGTGTATATGTATATATATATATATATATTTGGAAGTATTGTGTATGTGTGTGGTGCAGTGTGTTGGGGAGGTTCTGTGTGTATGTGAGGGGTGCAGTATGTGTGTGTGTGTGAGGGGTGCGGTGTGTGAGAGTGCCGTGTGTGAGAGTGCCGTGAGTGAGTGATGGGTGTGAGAATGCCGTGTGTGAGTGATGGGTGTGAGAGTGCTGTGTGTGATGGGTGTGTCAGAGTGCTGTGTGTGATAGTGCTGTGTGTGATGGGTGAGAGAGTGCTGTGTGAGAGAGTGCTGTGTGTGATGGTGTGAGAGTGCTGTGTGAGAGAGTGATGTGAGTGCTGTGTGAGACAGTGCTGTGTGAGAGAGTGCTGTGAGAGAGAGTGCTGTGAGTGCTGTGTGAGAGTGCTGTGTGAGAGATTGCTGTGTGTGATGTGTGAAAGAGTGCTGTGTGTGAGTGCTGTGTGTGATGGGTGAGAGAGTGCTGTGTGTGATGGTGTGAGAGTGCTGTGAGTGCTGTGTGAGAGAGTGCTATGTGAGAGAGTGCTGTGTGAAAGAGTGCTGTGAGAAAGAGTGCTGTGAGAGAGAGTGCTGTGAGTGCTGTGTGAGAGTGCTGTGTGTGATGTGTGAGAGTGCTGTGTGTGATGGGTGTGAGAGTGCTGTGCGTGAAAGTGCTGTGTGTGATGGGTGTGAGAGTGCTGTATAAATGTTATTGTGTGTGTGTTTAGGGGGGGTAAATAAACCAAAACAAAAAACAGGCATTATGTGTCCCCCCCCTCCCTTCTTACCTTTAGCCTGGGAGGGGGGGGCACGCTGGGACTGGCAGGCGGGGTGGCGGGGTTCCCTGGTGGTCCTCGTGGGTGAGTGGCAACGCGCCGGATCTCGCGAGAGGAACCCGGCGGAGCTGCAAGTTAGAGCTCCGCCGGGTCCTCTCTCCAGCATGGCTGGCTCCCTCCCTCTCTCCCCACCGGCGGCCACATTTGGGCCGGTGAGGGAGAGCTTTGATCTCCCCACCGGCCCGTCGTGGCAAACAGCGGGGCCGGCGCTAGGAGAGTGCCGGCCCTGCATAGTCCGGCAGGGGAGATCCTGGGACCTCCCCTGCCGGCCTCGGCCCATGGCCACCGCGGCCCACCGGGCATTTGCCCGGTATGCCCGATGGCCAGTCCGGGCCTGATTAGCACAATGAAGAAGAAACTAAGGGTCAGTGGTAGGAAGCAAGCATTTGCATACAAACCTCCACTGAGTCTATACAGCAGAAAGACACTCCAGGTGTGTATCAGGGCTTAAAGGGACACTATAGTTACATAGCTGAAAAGAGACTTGTGTCCATCAAGTTCAGCCTTCGTCACATTTGTTTTTTTGCTGTTGAACCAACAGAAGGCAAAAAACCCAGTCTGAAGCACTTCAAATTTTGCAACAAGGTAGAAAAAAAATTTGTTCTTGACCCCAGAATGGCAGTCAGATTTATCCTTGGATCAAGCAGTTATTACCCTACATTGAAAGATTATATCCTTGAATATTCTGTTTTTGCAAGTATGCATCTAGTAGCTGTTTGAACATCTGTATGGACTCTGATAAAACCACTTCTTCAGGCAGAGAATTCCACATCCTTATTGTTCTTACAGTAAAAAAACCAAAACTTTCCTTTGCCTTAGACAAAATCTTCTTTCTTCAAATCTAAACGCATGACCTCGTGTCCTATGTAAAGTCCGGTTTGTGAATAGATTTCCACACAATGGTTTGTATTGGCCCTGAATATATTTGTATAATGTTATCATATCCCCTCTCAGGCGACGTTTTTCTAAACTAAATAGGTTTAAATTTGTTAACCTTTCTTCACAGCTGATATGTTCCATTCCTTTTATTAATTTTGTAGCATGCCTCTGCACTTTTTCTAGTGCCATAATATTCTTCTTTAGAACAGGTGCCCAAAATTGCACAGCATATTCAGTATATAGTCTTACCAGTGATTTATAAAGAGGCAAAATTATATTCTCATCCCGAGAATGAATGCCCTTTTTCATGCAATACCTTACTGTCCTTAGCCACTGCTGATTGACATTGCACATTGTTGCATCATTTGTCGTCTATAACAATTCCCAAGTCCTTTTCGTGTGTTATCCCTAATTCTCTTCCATTAAGGGTACACGTTGCTTGTGTATTCTTTATGCCAAAGTGCATAACTTTACATTTTTCAACATTAAATTTAATCTGCCATTTGAATGCCCAGTCCCCCAGTCTATCTAAATCCCTCTGCAGCAAAGTAATATCTTGCTCACATTGTATTATTTTACAGAGTTTTGTGTCATCTGCAAACACTGAAACATGACATTCCATGCTTTTTTCAAGATCATTTATAAAAATGTTAAATAGGAGTCCCAGAACAGAACCCTGAGGGACACCACTTTCCACCTCAGTCCAGTTTGAAAATTTACCATTAATGACAACTCTTTGTACTCTATTTTTAAGCCAGTGTTCTACCCAAGAACAAGCATTTTCATCTAGAACGATTTCCTTGAGTTTGAACACTAATCTATTGTGTTGAACTGTATCAAATGTCTTGGCAAAATCCAAATAGATCACATCCACTGCAACACCCTGATCTATACTTCTACATAGAACACAATCAAGTTAGTTTGATATGACCTGTGCTTCATAAAAGCATACTGATTTTTGCTAACTATGTTCTTCTCAAGGAATCCTTGAATATTATCCCTTAATAACCTTTCAAATATTTTCCCAGCCACAGAAGTTAAGCTCACAGGTCTATAATTTCCAGGCATGGATTTTGAACCCTTTTTGAATATAGGAACCACATCTGCCTTCCTCCAATCCTCTGAAACACTTCGTGAAAGAAAAGAATCTTGAAAGATTAAAAACAGAGGTTCACTTATTTCTACACTTAGTTCCTTAAGTACTCGTGGATGGATACTGTCAGGCCCTGAAACTTTGTTTATATTAATTTTCTTTAGTTGCTGCAGCACCTTGTCTTGAGTTAACCAATTATTCTGCAAGTTTTTAGTAGCAATCATTTGCACATTTATTGCCATGGATTCTTCCTTAACCCCTTAAGGACACATGACATGTATGACATGTCATGATTCCCTTTTATTCCAGAAGTTTGGTCCTTGAGGGGTTAAAGGGACTCTCCAGTGCCAGGAAAACAATCCGTTTTCCTGGCACTACAGGTCCCCTCTCCCTCCCACCTCCCAATCCCCGGTTGCTGAAGGGGTGAAAACCCCTTCAGTCACTTACCAGAGGCAGCGACATGTCCGACATCGCTGCTTCTTCCTCTTCATTACGTCAGCCAGTGGGCAAGACTGATCCTGCCCGCCAGGGAGACCTAATGCACATGTGCGGCAATGCCGCGCATGCGCATTAGAGCTCTCCATAGGAAAGCATTGAAAATGCTTTTCAATGCTTTCCTATGGGGAATTGAGTGACGTTGGAGGTCCTCACACAGCGCGAGGACGTGCAGCAATGCTCTAGCACAGAAAACCTGTGCTATAATCCAGGAAGTGTCCTCTAGTGGCTGTCTACTAGACAGCCACTAGAGGTGGAGTTAACCCTGCAAGGTAATTATTGCAGTTTATAAAAAAAAACTGCAATAATTACACTTGCAGGGTTAAGGGTAGTGGGAGTTGGCACCCAGACCACTCCAAAGGGCAGAAGTGGTCTAGGTGCCTGGAGTGTCCTTTTAATGTATACGGAGAAGAAATAGTTATTTAAAATTCCTGCCTTTTCCTGGTCTTCATTAACTAACACCCCTGTAACGGACCGTTTTGCACATAAGGGGTAAAAACCGTTTAGGCAATCGTCCCTCTTTCCAGAGATGCAGGCACAGCTACTGCAGAACACCAATCCGCCGAACAGGAAACCATACGAATGCTGGAAACAGCCGAATAGGAAAAACCATACGAATAGGTTTACACTCCTAGCAGTGGTCAGTCTCATGTAGTTGGCATAACCTCTCAAAGTCATGCAGGTAGCCATCAATGTCCTCGGTTTCCACATAATTTTTAAAAGCATGGTATGGAATTTTAGGCTTCCCTTGTACTATGCGTGGTGGGGTTGAGGACCCCTCTCTGGACCTCCGGTCTGCCTGCTGCTTTGCCATTAGGTATTCGTGAACATCTGCCATAATCCTTTCCAAGGTTTCTCTGGGAGGTGTATCTGGGAAAAATGTCAGAGTATTTATATCGGCACACATCTTGTGCTATGATAGAAATTAAAAGTGTATATTCTGAGTCACTCTGAACAGACCAGACTCCATTTTGTTATTTCCAAGTTAACAAAATACACAAGATTTCTATCTGTAAAACTAACCACTTTGCCAGAGCTAAAGGAATGCATAGTATAAACAAACCAAGTGATAAGGAGAACGGGGGTTGGATAGACTGTTTAAAATGCTAATGGAATAGATCAATTCTAAACCCAGACATTTGTGACAGAGAAGATTAAATAATTTAATTTCACTTTCTATATGTATAAGGTACCATTGTAAGTTTAAGGTTAAACTTAGTTCATGATCTGCCATTTTAGAAATTATAGCAGGAATTGCGGACACTAAGTCTGGACAAAACTTAAAGAAACTGTTTTTATCTGACAGCAAATTTAAATTATGGCACTATAAAGATAAGGCCAAAATGACGTCAAAATAGCCACCAAGAAAAGTTAACTCTTTCCTGGATAGGTATGTTTAGTGGGACAAGACTGCCCTCTATAGACCAAATACCTAAATTGCGATCCCTAGGTAAGCACACCTCTAGTGCTTCTATTGGGTTATCAACTGATGACGTACAGAGAGTCTGGCCCTTTAAAAGTTAGGACAAAGGGAGACGAGAGAAAAAAGGAGAAAGAAGAAAGGGGTATGCAAAGAAAGCAAAGAAGTGAGCAGTCGGGAGCAATGACACTCTAGGACACTATTACCTACACACCTCCATGCAGAGAGACATACAAATAAGTTCCTGAGACTATCTACCAATCGGATGAAATATCTACTCAACTGGTAATTATACTGGTTTCATTTAATTAATTAAATTAATTAACATTTACTAATAGCATGAGATATATGACTGGATAAAGCACGGTCAGATTTCCATATTAAGAAATCTTAGTTAACTAAAGAATATATAGTTATAAACATTCCATTCTGCAGGTGGAATTAAGAATAATTATATATTGATGTGATATTATCACATGTTAGCATACCGCTGTTTTTATCCAGGTGTATTGATTTTCTCTAAATTAAGATAAGATATCTTTTAGACAAGTTAAAATCTGCTTATATAAACATGGTAGATTCTCTTATAAGATGGTTCCAGGAAATGACTAATGAACTGGTTTAAATGTTATTTTTTTTTTTTAAATTACATAAGAATAGATCTTAATTACCTAGGAGATCTAGCCAGCATTGAAAGGGTTATTCTAACTGTTAGCAAGGGTTTTATGGCCCTTCGCTGTGAAAAGCTTCGCTTTCTCTCTGTGTAAGGATACCTCATAAATCGTCAAAAGTCTTGACAGAAAATGCTGTTTATCCATTGAAACGTGTATAGCCATTCCTTTGTATTGCATTTTGTTTTATACTGAATATTCATTGATTATTGTCACGCATGTTACATATTATTATTATTAATTAATTTGTTATTATAAATAAATCTATTTTTATAACAACATTGTGATATTATTTATATGAAATATATTCCACTTACGATAACGATCTTTGGGTCTGAGAATTGAATTAGTGGGTGATTCTCACTGTTACTATTATTATCCCATAAATATCCCCACAAAAAGGCCAGTCTGCTTTGGAGTTCTCTTCCAAATTCATTCTGTGTGCTGTCCATAAGAGGTGCTGCAGCAGCTGCCCGGTCTCCCTCCATGAGTTCAGCAATAAGGGTAGCTTTGGCTTTATTGCTGGCAATAATTCCCCTTGCTTCCAATAGCTCTTTTAGCGTGGCCCGTTTCAAGCTGGTATAATTTGTCCCCATTCACTATCCGTTCGGGTATATTCACATACCCTTTCCCTTCGGTTCCATATGAATAGCAAATTTCCACGAATGGCTGCAACTGCCGAACAACGGTCTGCTGTGAGGTTTGAATCCCGTCGCTTGCCACCAATTGTAGCAGAGGAGCAGGGGTTACTCCAATGGCTCTCCGCTGGGCACAAAGATTCAGCATACAAAATCACAGGAACACAGCATAATCCACCTCCCCAAGGACTAGACGACACATAGTCTGGGAGTCAACTGTCAGCTTTATTCACAGGTCTGCTTTTATGCATTTCTCCCATGCAAGGGAGGTAACTTTCAGAATTAGTACAGTAGCCAATTGTAACCCGGTCACCTCCCCTCCCCTTAGATTAGCCCTTAAACAGATTAGTGGGGACAGAGTTTTCCCCACTTTCTGGATGTCCCCTAAATACAGGGGGTACAGGGACAAATAAAGGGGTCCCCTGGTAGATCTGATCTGGGTGAGCAACATACTCGAAATTCACCCAGATCGGACCAGGGGTTCGGGAGTTACAGACAGTTAAAGTTTTGACCGACCGCAGGGAATCAGTAGCCGAAAACAGTTCCATGAATTCTGGCCCTGCGGTCGGTCTATTTCAGTGAATGAAAAATACCGAACAGCCTAGTCATCCATGCGAATGCAAGCCTTCGCATGAATCCCCTCATTTAGGGGAATCTAACTACCGAACGGGAGACCACCCCGGCGTGGTCGTGTTTCCAATTAGCTGAACGATACAATGTTGCGAGGGGATTAAGTGCCTGTATGTGTGGCCGCCATTTCGCCTACCGAATACGTGGCGGCGGCCATCTTACGCACGAACAGCGGTACTTGGTTGTCGAATGCCTGGAACTCAAACCGGGCATTCGACTAACCAAGTACCGCTGAGACTTCCAGCATGCTCCGACAGCACGAATCAAATACATGAACGCCCCGGCGTTCGGTAGATAGATTCCCCTAAACGAGGGGATTCATGCGAAGGCTTGCAATCGCATGGATGGCTAGGCTGTACGGTATTTTTAATTCACTGAAATAGACCGACCGCAGGGCCAGAATTCATGGAACTGTTTTCGGCTACTGAATCCCTGCGGTCGGTCAAAACTTTAACTGTCTGTAACTCCCGAACCCCTGGTCCAATCTGGGTGAATTTCGAGTATGTTGCTCACCCAGATCAGATCTACCAGGGGACCCCTTATTTGTCCCTGTATCCTGTATTTAGGGGACATCCAGAAAGTTGGGAAAACTCTGTCCCCACTAATCTGTATAAGGGCTAATCTAAGGGGAGGAGAGGTGACCGGGTTACAATTGGCTACTGTACTAATTCTGAAAGTTACCTCCCTTGCATGGGAGAAATGCATAAAAGCAGACCTGTGAATAAAGCTGACAGTTGACTCCCAGACTATGTGTCGTCTAGTCCTTGGGGAAGTGGATTATGCTGTGTTCCTGTGATTTTGTATGCTGAATCTTTGTTCCCAGCGGAGAGCCATTGGATTAACCCCTGCTCCTCCGCTACAACCTCCATTTCAGTTTTTAGTGTACCTACACTTTCATTTTTTTTTTAGAATTTATGTACTTAAAGAATGCTTTGAGGTTGGTTTTGCTCTCTAATCACCAGAACATTATAGCTTAATGAGAAAATGAAAAGGCAGTGTTTACATTGCCTCTAGGGACACCTGCAAGAGGTCACTGAAGGTGCTTTTTGGGTCACTGCTGCCGAAAAAGCAGCCCTGACATTTAGCATCCCCACGCTCTGCATGGCAGGAAGTCACTTGTGTTCTGGGTGGGTGGTGAGGGAGCTAAACTCTTCCTGCTCAGCTCCCTCGCGCAACGATGCTGGAATATGAGGTCAGTCAGGCATCAGCGTGTGAGGAAGTTGAACAGGAAGATTACAGCTCCCTCACCGCCTACTTTGGCCTTCCGCCTGTCTTGGAAGGGGCAGGTAAATTTAAACTATGGGGAGCCCAAGTTCCGTCATGGCCAGGGCAGCACCAATCCAAAATACACCACTAGGTACAGGTCAAGGGCATGCAGCTACAATGGTGCGCTACTGCATTGCGGATTCCTGTTCACAAGTACATATAAGAAGTGAAGATCACTTCCTCCAATTGCTGCAATTCATAAACTGAAGATTGTCCCTCGCCACCTGCAGTCATTGCAGGGATTTGCATTGGCAGATATGTGAAGTCCCACTTAAATTCCTGATAGGCCAGAGTCTGCTTGCTTCTGGCAGCCTTGAGGACAGTGCAAAGGCACCTCTAGCACAATGCATGGCACACATGCCACAAGTTCCTGACTCCCTACCCAGTGCTGTCACCTGGAGTTTATCTGCCTTCAATTTTTTTTATTTCCTTTACTCTGCATTTCAATTGTGTATGTTGTGCAATACAGGGCACCACTTTTCTTATTCTTCCTGTTCGCACTGTGAGGTGATATGTTTCCAGGAAAACACGATGGCTTTATATAGTAGAAATCTTTCCTGGCAAATGTGACTGCAAATAAAGAATGGCTGCCCCATGGAGCAGGGAGCCATCACCCACTCTGTCACACAGGGCGCTATCTGACCACGACCCCTCATTATCGCACAAAGACAGCTCGAAACCGCGCTCATTACATAGATTTTCCGACGGAGGACTCATTCAAACGGCATGGTCACTCAGCCATAGAGGTGGCCCCTATATGACCACATGCAAACACTCCGCGGGTTTCTTCGTACATCGCTGCCCTATATAACCTCAGCGCTCTCCTCACGTGTCCGCGTGCGACACCGCGCTACCCCCTCCAACCGCCAGATAAACAGGCACGCGCAGACAGAGCTGTTGGCGTTGTTGTCATGGTTACGCTTGGGGCAGGAAAACCACGCCCATTTAAAAAATTCACACCACGCCCCATTTCCAAATAGCCTCATCCATCTCATGTAACCCCGCCTCCTGCCTGCACGTGACTCCGCCTTGTCTCGGGAGCGCGCTGCGCGAGGCGGACCTTTCCCTGGGGTGGCGCCATAGTCACATCTGATAGGCCGAGGCAGTGACAGACGGCTGCTGGGAGATGTAGTTTATGAGTGACAGAGATGGACTAGTGCGCTGTCAGGCCGGGGTGAATGCTAGCTGTGTGTACACATTGGCTGACAGTGCTGTCATGTCTGCAGAGCTCTCTGAACAGATTACCTTTCACCTCAGCCCGGATAGCACTGTGTGTTTATACATGGCGGCTGTGCCGGCCCTCTGCTACTCCTCTATAGCCCTGCTGCTACCGGGGAGGTGGCAGCTGAGGGGCCCCTGTGTGACTGTGGCCCTGCCAGTGACGTCTCCTCTCTCACACTGCGCATGCTCACTGCCTGAACCTGATCCCAACCGGGGAGATGAATGTTTCCCAACTGTTTCAAACTGTTATTGAGATTTACCCTCCACACAGCATGTGCAGAGCGGGGAGGGGGATCAGCAGCTACATGAAATATTATAATAAATCTCTTAGCAGGAAAACTATGTACAATGGTAATAACTCTGACTATGGAGGGGGGATCCAGAATACATTGCTGGCTGAAGGTCCAGCAATGTCTGGCTGCCAGTACTAATTTCCATCTCTTGCCCCGGGTACTTGGAGTCCAATACTAGCAGCAGTTCATTCCACATCACTTTCATTTCTATTTAGCAGCATCGCCAACAACACTTCATCTTGCCTGCTGCATTTCTACTCTCCAGCTCCCACCTCTTTCCCCACCCCCTTTACACACACACACACACACCCCACAACCTCCTTCTACTGTCTTGTTCCCGAGTTGAGTAGAAAGACAGCCATTCAATCAGCTGCTGCCTGACTTCTTTTTTTTTTTTACCCCCTAAGAGTCCCTGCACCTCACTGCACAAAACTCATCACCCACCGACTGACAGCAAGCCTCATGCTAGACACACAGAAGTCTCTTCTTAGCATCAATCTGCTTCCTGGACCTCATCTCCTCTTTTGTTTTTGTCTCTCCTTGCACTTTATGCACTCCACCGATCCACTTGTAAAATACAGTTTTTTAGTGTATTTTTAGTGAAAGGTGGGGAGAGTGTTCATTTCTTTATTTCTTTAACAGGAGGTGGGAGGGGTTGGTGCTGCTTTGGCAAGTGCTTGCAGAGGACAGATCCTGGATCAGGCAGGAGCCCGGTGGGTTTTTTTTTTGTGTGCTGGTTAATAACAGCTGCACAAAATGTTGAACCCAGCTAACGGAGACCAGACTCACATGGTGAACTATGTAGAGGACTACCTGGACTCCATCGAATCCCTGCCTTTCGATTTGCAAAGAAATGTGACCCTCATGAGGGAGATTGATGCCAAATACCAAGGTAAGAGCTTTTGCCTGCAATAGAACCTTGTCATAGAATCTGGGGTAACTTTGTATCGTCCTTTCCATTTGTGTTCTACAGATATTTTCAATAATCATGTCTTGTATCCGTTCTGCATTGTGCTTCTGTCTATGTGCATCCCCTTACTTAGCCCTTACTGATGTACACAGACAAACGTTTTGGTTTATTTATGCATCATCAAAACCGTGTTTGTTTTGCATCTTTGCATACAAATATATATTTCGATTTAGTCTGGTTACATATGTTTTGAAAGGGGCTCTTGCGGTTTTAAGTGCATATTATAGGGTGGAACAAAAGGTCCCTTTGCTGTTTTATCGTTGAACAATCTTTATGAGTGTGATGTGGATACATAAGGAAAAAAATACAAGACTGGGTCTTGAAGTCACCTGAAATAAACCCCCCTGCGGCTTTGCTGTACATACAAAACCGCTTTGGGGAGAGAAAGCATTGCCTGTGTATCTTTTATGTGAGTGTGTGTTAAAAGGTGGGTGTCTGGTGTTATTGCATTTGAGCAGCCCCAGCGATTACAGCACAACAACACTGAGGAATGTACAGTCATCGGGATGGCTGTAGTAGTAACTGCTAGTAAAAAAAAAAAAAAAAAATTGTGTGTTAGTGGGCAGGGTTTCCTTTTTGTCATTGTGCCTGTACTAATCTCACTGTTTTACCCCGGTTTACAATCCACCAAATCCTTGGGCATTGTGCTACAGAATGGTGGTGCTTGTTTCGTGTGTGTGTATATATATGTGTCTGTGTATTTGTTTTCCCCATACCTCAGATGACTAAAGATTTATTTATTTTTTTAATTTCTGTACTTATGTCTATCATTTTACAGCACGGATTGCTCTCTGCATTGTCCTATATAGACATAAAGTCAGCAATAACGTTTCACACACAGCTAGTATGTTGAATGTGGGTGACATAGAGCTGATGTTATATAAAAACCCAATAGGGGAAGTGTTAAAACGGGGTACTTTATCAATCAGCGACTCCTGGGAGAGTTGTTTTAGTGTTATTGTGACGAGTGTTAATAAGTCCATTTTTATTCAGTGACACTTGGTAATAGTGTGTCTGTGAGGGCCGCAGTGCGCTGAGAGCAGCCCCTCCCCCGCACCGTGTACCGGAGCCGTTACTAGTCAAGGGGAACTCGGTGTATTATGCGTCACGTCGTATATGTCCCACAGTCGCTACTTATTGGTGAACGGTAACTAACCGGGGCTTGGTCCTGGCCAGTGTAATTGCCAGAACGTAGTAACTTTGTGGTGGTGGCAGCTGTTTATGGCACATGGAGAACTGGTTATTTATTGTGACAATTGTTGGAAAAAGTACGAGGCAGAGCAGTGTTTGTATTGTTCTCATTGTTTAATAAATAGAAAACACAATAAAGATGTTTATGGTGGAGATGAACAAATACTCTTCATACATTCCTCCTTGTCTCATGCAGCGCCAGCCGCGCTTTACACAGACTAGAGTGCATTGCTCTTTATATATGCCTTAGCACGACTCCTCCTCTCTGCGCTCATTGGTGTCAATGTTCTGGTTTAGAACGTCCCGGGAGCTGTCAGTTCTATGATTTGCTGGGTTATCCACTTTGGCCCCGCCTCTTAGTAACTATTATCCGCCTTCTTGTTCGCGTTTTCTCCACGCCTCTTCGGACTTATTTAAATGTCTGTCTCCGCCCATCAATGCAGATTGGTTTAAAGCGGAGAGTCCCATACTGATTTAGACGCCTCATTCCCTGGCTCTGTGACTACTAAGAAAAAAAAAAGCGAGCCTTTGACAGAGGCGGTGCGTCAAATGCGTCGTCCGCCATCTTTGTTGTGGGCATGCTACCCACATAAACTCCTGTTTTCTAAATGATTACAGCGTCGCAGTATCTTTTGTCAAGTACCTGTGGCTTTTCCGCATCGTTTTATATATTTTCAGCGTTGCATTTCGATGTTATTGTCTGTTTACTTTGCGGTTCACTTTCTACTGTTTAACCATAGTCATGCCCGAATAAAGTATGGCGGATGATGAATCCCCAATGCTATTTTACATGAGCAGACCGGTCGGCGGGATATATTATTAATACATAGTGGACTGCAGTGTGCTTCTCATACGTGCGATAGATCCGTAATGTCTGACTTTTATATTAGGCTGATTAGAGCATCATGGCCTTAGTAGTTCACAATGGCTGCTGGAGCTAAGTACGATTATTATCCATCAGAATGATAAACAGACATGTGCTACTTCCAGGCTGACACCCAGCCATGGCTGCGATGGCTGCATCTCACACACTGAGGATGGCTTTGTGAAATGAAGATCCAGCCTCGTTATATGCTGTCTGGCAAATAAAACAGAGTAGACTTGGCTTACGAATTGTTTTTGAACCAAGGTTGCTCTTTCTCTCTCTCTCCTCCTTCTTTTTTTTTTTTTTTTTTTTTACATTTTTGTTATAGTCAAGTGGGTGTTTTAGGTCGACAAGTGGTCAACATTGTAGATCTCTATGTGTATAACTACAACTCTTTTTGATTTCTTGCCACCCTTGAGGTTGGCCGAGCGTCATGGGTGCTGCAATTCAACAGAGGCTATCACAGACAATAAGAGTTCACGTTTAGGATAAAAGGGGTTTCTGTAATCTTGAAGCTTCACCAAGGCAAATATCATCTCTGGTTATTGTAATGAGAGGTATATTTATGTCACACAAAGAAAGCAAAATCACAATTTTCTAAAACAGACATGTTTCTTTCAGATCTAATGCTGGAAATTTCATTTGTTAAATAGACATTACACAGCAGTGGTAGTACATCCCTTTGTTTGTTAAACAGTGATGTGACTGGAAAATTAAATTATTTGGTTAAGGAAAAATATCCTAGCTAGCAAGGTACTGAGCTATTAATGTCTTTTTATATTCTTTATTAATGTAAAGCATAAATGACAGATAACTATTAGACGTTAACTGTCTCTTCTAAGGATTTTTGTCTTTACATCCCACGTATATATTTAACAAATATGTATATGTGTAAGGCGTTACATTTTTTTTTGAAAATGGTGAATATAGAAATTCACACCTTTTATCCTACACCTGGGAGCCTCCATCTTGGTTTCCAGTCAATCATTGTTATAAGTTGTGGTTTTTGCACCTGGCAATCAGCAGATAAATCATACAGAGAGAATGAGGAATAAAACTATAGCTCACTTATAATACTTATCCATAACCCCACCCAACCCCACCCCAGGTTTCTAGTTCTACTCACTCCTTTTCAACAATGTTCTCTAGTTCTATGGACTTGTTGTGGAATATTGTGCAAAGTCCTCAAAGTGAGGCAATCACAATGGAAACCAGTGTAAGCAGCAGGCACTTTTTATTGGTGACTCACCCAGTTACGTCTTTGCATAAGTTATCAGAAATCGACACTTTGATAAATCTCCCTCCTATTGTCTATTTGTACAGCTTCAACTTAAAAAGTATGGTGAAATTACATTGTAAAATCTACCCAGATCACAAAGGGCCCATTTTGTGCTTGGGATTTAATATCTATAAAAAATGTATTCTTACACACTTTCGGTGAACAAAATAAAGTGTATCCTAGCCTATAACACTAATTCAGTACTGCATGCTGTCGTGTGTGTGTGTGTGTGTGTGTGTAATATAAATACGTGCATATGAGTATATTATAAGATCGTAAATTGGGGGGAAATATACAAATTGATGGATGTGTAATACTAAGGTAAGGTATTTGTATAAAACTCCACTGTGAGCTCAGCTACTACTGTGCAAAAGTCTTAGGTTTACAATGAAAATTCAATGTAAAACCTTTTATCTATTAGCTGGAATTTTTTTTCACTTTGAAAACTGTTCAACCTCATAGTTTATGATGGAGACCAGGACCTTCCAAACCCCATACATTCATTGAAATTAAATTCTTTTAAGGCCTGGAATGTTACTCTAAATGGGTAATTAGTAAAGAGTTACTATAACCCTTTTTCAGTGTTTTTGTAGATATAAACATTTTTTCTTGTATGTTGCGTTTATAAATAATGTTAAAAATACCTTGAATCCAGTGCTAGGTGAGGTTCTCATTTCTTGTTTCCATGCCTTGTCTGTCAAGCTGCTTTACTTCAAGGGCCAATCAAATACTTCTCATAGAGAAGCATTTGATTGGATCGTTCTCCCAAGCTAAGAATGCACGCACTCATTCTGAGTTTAAATATAAAAAGTATTTATAGAGACTTCTGCTTGCCTACTGGCAGTTCTCAAAGTGTGAAAATCATTAAAAAAAAAATTTGTAAACATAAATGAAAGGGATGGTATCTCTCAGACACCACATTAACCAGTAGAGCCTGGGTGATGACGACAGAGTTCCTTGTTTAGTAGTAGAGCGAGTTAGCAGAGTGTTTTATTTGAAAATGTCATATTTTGTGAGTGATCTTGAAAATTATGAAGCTTTATTTGCTCCAATCAACTCTATCAGAGTTATTTACTAAATTGTCTTAAATTGAAAGTAAATTTCAAATTTTAGTCCAAAATGACTTGCATAGTTGACAAAGAATTTTTCAAATCCTGCTATTTAGGCCTAAAATGTGGGATCCTTGACAATACACTTTTTAGTGAATAACTCTGTATGTGTAACATTTAAATTAACACAAATAACATTAATACAGGGAAAAATATCTAAAACGCCTGTTCTTTCCATTAGTCCCATTGGCATCCATGTTCATTGCATTGTCCACATCTCAGTTCGTTGTTTTAAAAAAAGAAAAAAAATGAAACACACATGACTAAAACTACTACACAATCTTATATTGTATTGTTATATTGAAGTATTACTTTACTGAGAGGGTAGTGGATGCATGGAATAGCCTTCCAGCTGAAGTGGTAGAGGTTAACACAGTAAAGGAGTTTAAGCATGCTTGTGATAGGCATAAGGCTATCCTAACTATAAGATACGGCTAGGGACTAATGAAAGTATTTAGAAAATTGGGCAGACTAGATGGGCCGAATGGTTCTTATCTGCCGTTACATTCTATGTTTCTATGTTATAGAACCTTCTCTACCTTCTCTACTTTTAAGTAGTTTAGTCCTGTGGCAGTGGAGCTACATGTTTCCTTTATGACTTAAACAGTATAAATAAACATAGTTATAAAAGTCAGTAGTTTACATTGGCGATCCTCAACTGAGTCTTAAATTCCATCCAAACATTGGTGGAATTTGTATCAGTATTGTGGAAGCAGTAACACTGCATTAGTAGTATCACACAAAGAGACCTGACTAATGGCAACTGGAAATAGAATGGTTTTCTTAATTTGAATTTTCACACATTACAAATACTGTAAATATTTGTTAAATGGGATAAGTACACAATATTACAAATCTTGAGAAATGGTAGTTCCCTTTTAATACATACAAATTCAGTTGTTCAAGTACATGCAAAGCATATTATATGATGTTTAATTTCTTGCTGGTGAAATATACATTTTCAGATTAGGTCAATAACATAAATATATAGTAATTTAAGGGCTTGTGTTAAAAAAAACCCACTGAATAATTCCCTTTTAAATTTGTTCTAGATATCCTGAAAGAACTTGATGACTATTATGAAAAGTTCAAGCGTGAATCAGATGCATTACAAAAGAAGCGACTACTGCAGTTCATCCAACGAGCCCTTATTCAAAGCCAAGAGTTGGGTGATGATAAAATCCAAATAGTGAGTCAGATGGTGGAGCTGGTCGAAAATAGGACAAGGCAAGTAGACAGTCACGTAGAACTATTTGAAACATGTCAGGACTTAAATGACAGCACTAGCAACAGCAGCAAAAATAATCAGGAAAAGTCCAAAAGTGAGGCAGTTTCTCAGACTGAAAAACCTAGCAATAAGAGATCACGGAGACAAAGGAACAACGAGAACCGTGAAAATTCCACTATCAATCATGACCACGATGACCTCACTTCTGGTACACCCAAGGAAAAAAAGGCAAAGACTTCAAAAAAGAAAAAGAGATCTAAAGCTAAAGCAGAAAGAGAGGCATCACCTGCAGACCTTCCCATTGATCCTAATGAGCCAACTTATTGTTTGTGTAACCAGGTTTCGTATGGAGAAATGATTGGCTGCGATAATGAAGAATGTCCCATTGAGTGGTTTCATTTTTCATGTGTTGGACTTAATCATAAGCCTAAAGGAAAATGGTACTGTCCAGAATGCAGAGGAGAGAATGAGAAAACCATGGGGAAGGCACTTGAGAAATCTAAAAAGGAGAGGGCTTACAATAGGTAGTTCACATAGTATGATCACTGGCTTGAAAGGAACAAAGCATTGTATTTATTGTCCATATCACCTTGTAAAGGTGAAAGGATTGCAAATTGTATATTTTTAAATATGGCTAGGCGCTGAACCGTTCCTGTTACAGTGACAGCAATAACATCTTTCTCCTACTTTTGATAGAGGTTTTGTAAGGGGTTTGTTCATGACTAAAACAAGTTTTTGATCCAGATTGTTCTCAGTATTAAAGGTGTATTCTAGGCACAAACACAACTTAAAGGATCATTTTGGTTTAACATCTTCTCTGGGGTCCCCTGCTCCACTACATTCTGCTTAGAAGTTTAGATTAGTTCTCTTGAGGTTAGCTCTGCCGTGGAGGGTAGGTCATTGACTAAGAGTGTCAGTTGATTACTCTCAGCCAATGAGCTAAACTCTGGGCTTTACTCAGAGAGCTTTTCACTGTCTGTCCGCTGTTGTGAAGGCAGGAAACTTCATCTAGCAGACCCCAGATAAGAAGGCAATCCTTTGGTAAACGATTTGACCACTTGCAATGGGGGTGGGGGGCGGCTGTGACAGGGCGCACCATAAGCACTACAGTGCACATTTGATAGCTTTTGCCCTCATATTTTCTACACAATCAAATATCTTTGAAAATATTGCTAAAGGAAAAAAAAAAATAGTTTTGCAGTCTTCTGTAGCTAAGCCTTCTCTTTTTGACACACCGTCTTCCTGATTTGCAGCAGCTTAGTCTACGTATATAACTCAGCCAATGAAAGATTAGTATACTATAACCGTGCCTAACAGCCAGTCATTGTTTTCTTATTATTAACCTCCTCAACACTATGAATTCGGCTTCAAAATACTATACAAATAAGAAAGCAGTGATTGGCTATGGGATGGAACCATATCGGCAGCTCAGCTCACACTGAGTGAAGGGTTGGCTTAGGGGACAGAGTATGCTACAAAACATTTTTTTTTTTTTTTTCTATAATAGTTTTAGAAATCTAAAAGCGGAGAACAATACCAAGATTATGACCCAAAAACATATCAAGTGTGCTTAATTTATTTTGGTGCTGGAGTTTCTCTTTAATACTTTAGTAAGGATGCAGATAAATAGATCAATGCATAATGATAATAGGTGAATTTACAAAATGTCAGAATCTAAACTCAGAAACAATGAGCCCATTAAAATGTACTTTCATAAAGCCAGGAATTATGAAAATCTGACAAGGAAATCACGTATGTTAGGCCAAAATAACCAAATGGAAAAATTTGAACGCTACAGTTTTTTTGTTTTTTTTAGCATTTTTAATTTGATCTGCAATATGCAATTTTTGTGTCAGTTATCTCAAATTCCTGATTTTATGAATAAACTCTGTATTGATTTGTTAAGGAAGGGGTGTTGTAAGATTCTTTCTCAAACTCTTTTGAACTTAATTCTTTATCCCTCACCAATTGGCAAACGTCTTAAGAAAACACCCAAGTAAATGTTTTTTTTTTTTTTTTTCTTGATGAGCATTGAGTCAGATGACCTGTCTGATTTGTTGTGGATTGAGCTCTGGGCTAGCACCAAAACAAGACTGAAAGTTAACATGAAACAGCCATGATTTACATTGTTATGGTAAATGGCTGTATAATAAACCGTCAACAGTAAATTGGACGATAAAAATCTGAGGATTATTTTTAGAATAAATGTAATGTGTTACATTTAAATGGCAAATATTTTATACTGTATTCTGGCTTTGTAACCAAAAGAGGCCATTTTAAAATTGATTACTTTTTTGTATGGAACCAGATGGTGGTTTGGTACATTTCACACAAATCAAGCTTTATACAGTCACAGGTAATAACGGAGCAATCCTTATTTGTATAAATGTACATTTTAAGTGGAATTGTACTTAGTGTATTATAATTAGAAATGCAGCCAAATGCCATTGAATAACCAATGTGCATTTTCCTTCTATATGTATGAAGACTGTACAGCTGTGATACTTAAAATAAAAGACAGATTTATTGAAATTTGTTTGGTATTCTTTTTTTTCCCTCCTTTGTGATCCGAATTAAAGGTAACTCCTTTAGATTTAGCTTCTGAAATGCCTTGTGTCCTCTCAGCCAATCAGTAGCTTGCCATTCATAACAAAGGCATGATTTTTTTTATTTTTTATTTTTATGTTTGGGGAGCTACTGATTGGCCTAGAGCGTCAGCTGAAGCTTTAAGTCAATTAGTGGTGCCCCTACCCACCGGATGTTGATGGGGATAGTAAGGAACGGCGCTGGAAAGCCACCATTGGATTTAAAACGTTCATGAAAGATTTAACCCCTTCAGGTAAGAAAGCGCCATTAATGTTCCTTTAACAGAGTAGCAGATAATATATTCTAAAGTAATCAGACTGTGCAATAAAGACAGTCTAAACATTAGATCTCTCTTTACAGGAAATATATAGACAGACTGTGTAGGTCACATGCAGGGGAAGTGTGGCCAGGGCAACATAAACAGTGATTTAACGCAGTTAGACTGCAAGGATATGATTCTTTTTACCAAAACAACTCCATTTGGCTAAGGTTGTTTTGTTGCTTATATAGTTTCCCTTTTAAAAAAGGTTATGGATTATAGAAAAAGTAATTCTTTAAAACTGACAAACTTTCCACATTCAATTTTGCTTTAATTTCTGCCACATATACTTTAGTTCTACTCTGTTTTTAGGTTAGGGATCATCCCTAAAAACTGTGGCAATAGGTCATTGTAATAACGTTGCAGATTAAAGGAACAATATCATTAACATGGTCATCCTATGAGCCAAGCCCTAGTGCTTTAAAATACCACTAAAGGCATTCAGGCCATTTCATCTCAATTAATTGGTCTGGGTGCAGTGGTCCTCTTAGTTTTAACTTTGCAATGTTAAACGTTGCATTATTGCAGGGTTAAAAGGAACCTAAGCACCCAGAACACTTTAGCTCATTGAAGTGGTTTGGGTGCACTGTCCCAGATCCCTTAACGCTGCAAAACTAATTTATTGAAGTTTTTAAGAGAGGGGGAAGCTATTGTGCCAGAAAAACAACTTTTGTTTTCTTGGCACTATAGTGTCCCTTTAATCCCTTAAGGACGGAGTCAGTTGTACATGTTCTGATCAAAACAAACGTAAACAAAACCTGGAATTTGTGCTATATGTCTGTTCAACCATAATTCACCTCTTTCATATTAAGTGCACCCACACTTACTATACATCATTTTGTTCAGGAAAAACAGGGATTTTTATTTCCTATCAAATATTTATATATGAAACCATTTCATATGAATAATATTAAGTTCAGCATGGCATTTTAACTGTAAATGTCATATTACTGTTGGCTTTTATTATAATAAAATACACACATAATTGTGTTCAGCTGTGTCTCCTGAGTACAACAGTACCCCTCATGTACAGGCTTTAGTTGGTTTCGAAAAATTACAGGGTCAAATATTGCACGTTCCCTTTATCAGTTTATACACATTAACATTTGCCAGATTGGTTATGTTGCCTTTAAATGCAAATACAAAAAAAAAAAAAACAAGTCCTGCTCTCAAACTCCCACTACTCTTGGGCGGCAGCAACGACCATAGTACACATCAGCCCCAATACATACAGTAAAAACCAAAGAATAAAAGTTACCTGTGCTCTTTCCCAAATCCCTATGTATATTTAAACAAATAGAGGTTATTTAGTTACTACAATGGCCATTAGAGGGAATGCCCACCTGCCACGTCAAGGCAAACCTCTTAGGTGGGTCCTACACTAACCATTCACATTGCTTTCTTGAGCTATTGGCAAAGATATCACTAATGAGACAGAGAGGGGTTATTTTTTATATACACCCCTACATGCTTATTAACCCTTATTAGGGAACACATGGGACGGGCAGCAGCATTGTAACATAGCTGTGTGATACAAAAGTGAATGCAAATACAAAATAAAAAGTTCTGCACTCAAACTCCCACTACTCTTGGGTGGCCGCAACAATCATAGTACACATCAGCCCCAATACATACAGTAAAAATAAAAAAATATGACTATATAAATAATATAATAATAATGATGTCTCACAAGTACAACAGTACCTCCCAAGTACAGTTTTCAAGATGTTTTGGAAAGTTACAGGGTCAAATATAAGACTTGCTCATTTCTGTTTTTGCACTTTTAAATTCCCCAGATTGGTTATATTGCCTTTGAGACCATATAGCAGCCCAGAAATGAAAATTACCCCCATCATGACATTTTGTATTCAAAATGGGGTATGTCCAGTCTTTTTTAGTAGCCACTTAGTCACAAACACTGGCCAAAATTAGCATTCATGTTTTTTGTTGTTGTTGAATTTTTCACAAATAAACTGCCTTTTCACCGATATCAGCAGCATTATATGTTTTACTACTCTAAAATCAGTGGCGTACCTACCACGGTCACAGAGGTTGCAGTTGCCACCGTGCCCTTCACTCCAGGGGGCCTGGACATAGCTGTGACCCCTGAGACCGTGGGCCACCACAACGTCAGGGCCGGTCAACTGCCGCACTAGCCCGGGCGCCGCGGCCGCTGGTTGATCGGCTGGAGGGAAGCGCTGTACTTTACTGCTCCCCTCCTGCCAGTCTTTCTGTTTGTAGCACGGCCGAGCACTGCAGTTGACAGGAAGTGCTCACTGAGAAAGCACTTCCTGTCAGACTGGGTACCGCTCATTTGTGCTACACAGACATAAGGTACAGGAGAAGAGGAGGAGGGAGAGAGGGAATGAGGGTTGGATGGAGGGTGAAGGGGGCTACTAATGAGGGTTAGATTTGGGGTAAGGTGGGTGAGGGAGGGTGAGGGGGTTTAATGAGGTTTGGAAGGATGATGAGGGTGATTTTAATGAGGGCTGTATGGGGGTGCGTGGGGTTAATGAGGGCTGCATGGGGTGAGGGAGGTTAATGATGGCTGGATGGGGGTGAGAGGGTGTGAGGGCTGCAGTGGGAGTAAATTGGGTTAAAAATGGCTGGATGTGGGTGAGAGAAAGTTGGGATTGGATGGAGGATAAATGGGGGTTAATGAGGGCTGGAAGTGGGGGAGAGAGGGGTTAATAAGGGCTGGATGGGGTGAAGGAGGTTAATGGTTGGTGAGAGATGGAGTAAGGGCTGGATGTGGGGTGAGGGGGGTTAATGAGTGCTGGATAGGGGTGAAGGAGGTTAATGAAGGCAGGACAGGGTGAGGGGGGTTAATGCGGGCTGGATGGAAAGTGAGAAGTTTTAATGAGGGCTGGATGCGTGGTGAGGGCTGGATGGGGGTGAAGGGGGTTAATGAAGGCTGGATGGAGGTGAAGGGTTAACGAAGGATGGATATGGTGAGAGGGAATGAGGCAAATGGAGGGGCAGGGGAATGGGACACATGGAGTAGCTGAGGCTCATGGAGGGGGCTGGGGGGAGGGATGGAGACACATGGGGGTGGGACACAAGGAGGAACTTGGGGGAAATTAGACACATGGAGGAGCTGGGGGAGGGAATGAAACACACGTGGGGGGCGGGACAATTTTTGTTTTTGCACATTTACATTTGCCAGATTGGTTATGTTGCCTTTGAGACCGTAAGGCAGCCCAGGAATGAGAATTACCATTTGAAAAAGTAGACAACCCAGGGTATTTAAAATGGCGTATGTCCAGTCTATTTTCACAATCACTTAGTCACAAATGCTGGCCAAAGTTAGTGTTCATATTAGTTTTTAGCATTTTTCACACAAAAACTGCATTTTCCCTGATGATATTGTTTGAATACTGTAAGGAAACCTAGTGTATCCAATCCTCATTCGGTAGTTTCCTCCCAAACGGCATCAGTGATTATAGCTCTCCATTCGGCAGATGAAATAAACGAAATCCATATGAATACAATAGCTTTACCAGATGATTCCCTTAATAAAGCATACGAATACCCAAACATCAGCCGGAGTCTAGAAGAAGAGTGCAACAGAACTGCTTTTAATTATCACACACTGGCTTTTATGCAAGTCCCCGTGCAAGAGGACATCCCACAGGGAGGGACAATTTACATCCAATCAGTTACAAGGAAAAGATAAAACACTCCCAGGACACACATACAATTCCCTCCCCTAGTCCTGGAGATAATCAAGTCTGATAAAGTAATAACTTAATTATCTCCAGGCAGAAAAATTACAGTTTTACCCAATATTTAGAACACCCCTTTATGCATATGGTATCCCCATAAATAATATCTTCCCTGATAGCCCCGCTCTGGGTGACCAACATATTTCAATTTCACCCAGATCGGTTCAGGGGTTCTCAAAAAGTATGGAAGTCTTTTGTGACCGGCTAACCGAGAGGTTGCTGCCCAAAACAGTTCCACGAGTTTGGGTAGTTGTGCCAGTCCATTTTGTTAAGTAGAAAAAAACGAATAATTCCACGAACGGTTTCCTCTGGCTCTTAGCAGTGATTGTTCCCCTCATACGAATGAACAAAAGTACCGAACAGCGCTCTTCTACGGGGTTGGGGCCATTTAGTTATGGCCTCTACTTTAGCAGGTTCTGGCTGCTGCCTACCGGAACCTACCCTGTGGCCGAAATACTGTACCTCGGCCATGCCTACGTGGCTTTTGTCAGGTTTCAATGTGAGGCCCGCTAGCCGAATTCGCTTGAGTACCCTGGACAAGTGCCCCAGGTGGTCCCCCCAGGTGCGGCTGTGGACGGCAATATTGTCTAGATACGCACATGCGAAGTCCTTGAACCCCTACAGGAGCCTATCGGCCATCCTCTAAAAAGTAGCTGGGGCATTCTTCATCCCAAAGGGTATAACCTTGAACTGGTATAGCCCAAAATGGAATGCAGCTACTATATTAATGTTCTCTATAGGTATGCATTGATTCAATGCAACTCTATAAGACGTTGATTGGCGCAGTGGCATTTTGCCGTGCATGCCCAATAGTCTCCCATTGCTTTCCTATGGGGAAGCATTGGATTGGCGGAGATTGTTAAGACTGATGTTCTCAGCCTTCGAGGTGGGGCCAGCCACTGCGTCACCAGCATGGCGTGGGAAAAAAGTTGAGTAATAACACCTTTCCCATGTGATTGGAGGGAGGCAGATCATCTAAGCACAGACACACACACACTAACTGACAGACAC